GCTAAAAATCTATTCTCTGAAATTTTCCCCTGCTATTTGAATATTGAACCTTTTGAAAGTATTTACAGCATGAGCATCAACAATTCAAGGTCAAATGTAAGAATGACTAAGAATTGGGAGGCCGAGACGGGCGGATCACGAGGTCAGGAGATCGAGACCATCCTGGCAAACACGGTGAAACCCCGTCTCTACTAAAAAATACAACAAAACTAGCCGGGCGAGGTGGCGGGCGCCTGTAGTCCCAGCTACTCAGGAGGCTGAGGCAGGAGAATGGCGTAAACCCGGGAGGCGGAGCTTGCAGTGAGCTGAGATCCGGCCACTGCACTCCAGCCTGGGCGACAGAGCCAGACTCCATCTCAAAAAAAAAAAAAAAAAAAAAAAAGAATGACTAAGAAACTTTTGAACATGCCTTATTTCCTTATTTACCAAAAAAAAGTACAAGTATTAAAATTAACCATCATAATCATCTTAATTATTACTGTGCCAGTTATTTTATGGTCACAAGTAGAGTTCTATTCAAAGGGAACTAGTTCTTGTTGCAACCTTACCATGATCCATTCAGAAACATTTTAATATTATCCATGTAATCCTCTCAAAATCCTCCTATGGTATCTATTAATAACTCCACTGAGAGAGGAGAAAATTGCCTGACATGCCTGAAGTCAAATATCTAGTATCAGCAGCTTTGAATTCAAATGAGGCTGGTGCAACTTTAGTGTCAATAGGTATACAATATATTCATTTGCTCAATAAATGAGAAAACTGGGGGTTAGCTGGTGTGACAAGAATGTAAAGAATTCACACATCTCTTCTTTCTCCAATAAGGAGTATTCTGATTCCCTGCTCAATTTCTTGTCTCTTCATTGTGTAGAACTGGGGTGATGACTGACTGGGAAAATTAAGAGGCACAAAATTGACTTTATCTTGTTTATTTTGGAAGGATAAAAATCTACTGGTGGGGCTGGTGCCTGTGAGGAGACTGGAGAAGAAAGAAGAGAAAATTTGGCTCAGATTGAGTAGATAAGAAATTTTTCAGGATTTAGACAAGAGAGAAGAAGTTTCAGAGAAGTTTCTATAAAATCCTAAGAGTTAAAGAAATAGGATTGTCAATAACTTTCTTTTTCTTGTTTGCTCAAGAGAGTAAACATCAAGGGGCACTGAAGATCTAAATGTTTTTACATTTAGACACAGGCATGAAGTGTCATAGAATGAAATGCTGGGTGGATAGTGTGTCATGATGATACTTGAGTTCATTTTAGTTACCGTAGATATTTGTCTAACATTGAGATGGAACTTTACATCTTAAAATGCATTCCCCTTCCTTTATATTACAATCAATGCCTCCAGCAATTAGTTAGGGCTTTGAATCTAAAATTATCTAATTCTACAAGCTATCTCTCCTGGGTCTTCTCTGGAAGGCAGGAGACCAACTTTTCTCTTTAGGAAAGGAAATTTCTAGCCGTCAAATTGTCCTCCAAGCTTTAGAGACTTTATCTGAAAGGTCAGTTGCTTGGAAACAAATGACAGCAGCCTAGAGAAAAACATGAAATTTCCCTGTCAGCCAAGCTACAGGTAAAGGGGCAGCCCTCTTGGGGGATGTTTGCAGTTCCACTCATTATGGATCAAACAGGAAAATTTGGGGAAATATGTTTTAACCTGTGGTCTGAAGTACAATGGAACATCATCCTTGGAAAGTGTTTTATTGTGGGGAAATGGGGAAATTTACAGTGCTCCAATCTAACCAAAAACTGACTCAGATGACGAAAGTGAGTAGATGAGGTTTTTGGGAAGACCTGGTATGTGATGAATGTTGGAAGTGTTTTATCCAGGCTGGTGAGGTGCTGTCCTACCTTTATTTGCTAGTCTGTTTAAAGCAACACACAAGACCTGCAAGGACTTTGAATATGTGATACATGATTACTTTCTTTGTGCTTGCACTAAGCAGCCTGAGCTACATGTATCTTCATCTGAACTTTGCATATTTGGACACCAACTGATCTTTCTTCACAGACTCCACTGCAGCAAGCTCACTGAAGGACATTTCACTCTGCAGTAAAAAATCATGTTCAAGCAGGCCCACTTCCATGCTATACTAATAAGAGAAAGACAGATATCTTACAAAAGTTGATGCATTTCATCATCCTCTGTGCTGGTGCCCTTTTCAAATAAAAAATTGTCCCCTCTATGCCTATATATTAAGTTTTGGAGGACTACTTCCACTCTTCTCTCCCATCTCTTTGACAAACTTCTTGAACAAGTTGTCCGTTCTCTGTTTTTGCATATCATAAACTATTTACTCTTCAATGTCTTTAATCTTTCATCACGAACGCTTTACTGACTTAGCTCTTCCTAATTTCACACATGAGTTGCACGTTGCTAAATCAAATACTATTTTTTATCATCAATCCCTCTTTCTTGTCTTGAAAAGGATAAGAACATTTATTCATTCATGTATTTGGTTTGTTCTACTAATATTGTTGAGTGTCTGCCTTCCGCAGACAATATTTTAAGCAATGAAAATAAAGCAGTTATCAATAAAGACATGGTTCATGTTCTCATCAAGCATATGTTTTACTGTGTAAGTCAAATACTATACAAATAATCATAAAATTATGTTTAATTAACATCCAAAATAAGTCCTCTTAAGAAAGGAAACTCAAGTGGAATCTAGCACACATTGAAAGTTGAGACCAAGCATTTCTGAAGAAGTGAGTCTTGAACTGAGATACAAAAATGAGTAGAACTTTATCTAAAGAGGTGAGGGGCTGGGAAAGCTGAGCAAATGCCCTGTGGCAGAGGCATCTTTTCCTGTACACTGACTGTCAGAAACACAGAGAAAGCCAGTGGCATGCTGAAGAAGGAAAACAGTGAAGTTTCATTATAATCTATGTTAATATAGGGGGTTTTGGTATCCAAGGACCTTCAGACATCATTTTATGGTTCCTCAAAACCCCCTGAGAGACACAGGTTAAGTATACTCATCACCTATTTTATACAAGAGGAAGTTGAAACACAGAGAGTTCATAAAGTGAGCTCCTAGAGGGTTCGTAGTGGCAGTGCCCTGATAAGAAGCCTGATTTCTGAAGCCTTGTGGGATTCTTACAGTCAGATCTGTCAAGATAGTCTCCTTTTCCTTCTACATCTCTGGTAAGACCTCAGTCTCCTTTACAGACTCTTCTTCATCTGGTCTTTACATGTTGTAGTTCTTCCAAGTTTGATGGTATGTGCTACTCTTTGTTCACTTCCCACTTTCTCTCAGGCGAGCTCATCCACTTCCATAATTTCAATTACCCTTCAAAAAATACTGACTCATACATTGAAGCCTTTAGCCTTGACCTCATCTATGAGTTACAAAACCTCATAGCCAGCTCCCTATTTGGCATCTCTATTTGTGGAACCACATCTATCTCTCTATACATAAAATTTAAATAACAATTTCACCCTGAAAAGGGAGATAATTTCAAGTCTCTTATTTCAGTGATTAGCATGATTGTTAGCCACTTATACAAGACAGAAATTTGATTTGTCCCTCTCGGTCACTTCCTGTATCCATCCAAACATAATTCTGCCTCCACCCTACTGTAAATCTACACTCCATTTTGCTGGTTATAAAAATATTCTCCTAACTAGTTTCTTAAATTAAATATTGTCTTCACTGCAACACTTCTGCATAGTACAAGTGATTATATGAAGACTAATCTATTCATGACATTCCACTGACCCCAAATCTTCAATAGATGCCCATTCTAATGGGGTCTTTAATGTGACTGACTAGAACTTGCAGAAAATGCCTACTGCCTATCACTGTCTGCATCCCATTCATGCAGGTACTATTCCTCAATTCAGTAACTCACACTCACCATGCTCTTTTCGTGAGCCCCACAAAGCCCCAGAGAGACTGCTCCTTCTGACTCCTGTATTTCTCTACCCCTCTTTACCCATTTTCTAGAAACTTTTACTTACTCTTTGTATAAATTCCTTAAAGATGCATTTCCAAATGCCCTAAACTAAGTTACACGCCCCTTGTCATATACTATTCTTACATCCCAAAGCTGCTCTTCACAGTAATCTTGATGTTAATAATATAATAAACTGTGTAATTGTGTAATTAGGTTCTTAAAGTTTGTATCTCCAGTTACTATATGAGCTTCATGAGAAAAAGAACCACATTTGCATCTTTCAGAGAATTCCATATTTCCCATAAGACTTCCCATATTTCACAGCAACATCCCCTTATATTGATTTGTGCACCTGACCCCCTTCCCCCATCAAGAATATCTGCTTTCATAGATATCACAGACTTCTTCCCTGCTTGTTGCAGTCTTTTGAGGAAAATCGCAGTTCCTATAGGTTCCTCTGAGGATCTCCAGAAAACTATTGCTTCATAAAGATCTGGCCTATGCATATTCCACTTGATTTACTCTGCCCTCTGCATGAGCAGCAAATGGATAGTAGCCTCCCAACAAGTATATCAAATTCTAAATCGATGAGCCAGGATTGAGTGGGCTGAGCTTGTAAGTTGTTCAGCCTACGAGTTCCATAATAACAAGGACTATATTTATTCTAACTTTAGCCCCAACATCTAGCATAGCCTTTGACATTTGATGAGCACTTGTTTTATTATTATAAATTTTGAAAACAAAATGAATGGAGAGACAGGCTTTTATTAGTACCTTGGCAACCTCAATCCTATATAACTGGAAAGTCTATCTCTAAAGGAGCACTAGTCAGGACTCATTTCTCCACTGTGGAGTATGCAAATAAATATTTAAACCACCCACTGGGAAAACCTAAAGAAACCCATTTTTATTCTACTTGGGATTAGGGGTTTCTAAAGGAAGGGTAGCATTTCAAATTTGCCCATTGCCCTTAAGAGCTCACTTTTTGCCAGAGTCAAAGAGTTATAGACACCTGTAAAAAGCCTCTGACCAAATTCCTCTGACACACAGAATTCCTCCAGACCATCTTTTCTTTGGACAGTAACTCTTATAAGAATTATCGTGCTCGCTTTGGCAGCACAGATACTAAAATTGGAACAATACAGAGAAAATTAGCACAGCCCCTGCTCAAGGATGACACGCAAATTCAGGAAGCATTCCATATTTTTTCCATCAATGATAGACTGGATTAAGAAAATGTGGCACATATATACCATGGAATACTATGCAACCATAAAAAAAGGATGAGTTCATGTCCTTTACAGGGACATGGATGAAGCTGGAAACCATCATTCTCAGCAAATTATCGCAAGAACAAAAAATCAAACACCGCATGTTCTCACTCATAGGTGGGCATTGAACAATGAGAACACCTGGACACAAGAAGGGGAACATCACACACGGGGGCCTGTCGTAGGGTGGAGGGAGTGGGGAGGGATAGCATTAGGAGATATACCAAATGTAAATGATGATTTGATGGGTGCAGCACACCAACATGGCACAGGTATACATATGTAACAAAACTGCACATTATGCACACGTACCCTAGAACTTAAAGTATAATAATAATAAAAAAAAAAACTCTTTTTCTTTATAAATTTTTTGAAAAAGAATTATCCATTTATTTCTTTGATGGTATTCATGTTTTTCCTGTTATTTGTTCTCCTTGGAATTCAATTTCATTTTCTCAACAAAATGTTAATTCTGTCACCCTTACCTTATCAACATATACAATAGTCCACATGTACACTCTCTCCCTGTTGCAGCCTCTCCCGTCCAGACTCCTCTCTGGAAAACCACATCTCCAGAAGTGGAGGTCTGACAATATTAATTTATATGCAACTGCTTTTCACAAAGGTTTCAAGAACAGAGTTATTTGTGTTATGACTATTTCAGTAGTGCTTAGGTAAAATCTTAGAAATAACATTGGCTTGAGTATAACAATGTGAAGGAAGGTGGAAGTAGAAAAACAAAACTATTAAAACCCGGAAAGACTTGTTGGATGACAGAGTTGAAATTAAGCACTTGTCCAGTAAGCAGTGATCTAACACTTCCAGAATTTCTCCCCCAAAGTAAGAGAACATGAACTTGAAATTTATAAGCAAAACTATGATGAGATGAAGGAGGAATTAGAGGACAACTGTCATTTGATGAAATAGTTTGTCTGAAGAATCCATGGCACAGAAAACAGCTGCAATGAAGAGAGTTGCCTTGGGAATAGGGCGCTAATTTAGAGTGTGGCATGTTCCACGAGAAATGATAGGATTGGTACTGAAGGAATCATAATAAGCAGCTCCTTGGAGAACATACAATTTAAGAAAATGTTACATTCTGTAAGTGCCTCCTACCCCCACTCCTCATTAATCACTCTAACCTTCCCGTCATTGTGTTAATAGCCACCAATTCTATGTCACACATGCTCACAACAGAGTGTCACACTTTGTCTCATCAGGATAATTCAGAAGAATATTAAATGATTACCAAATACATTTTTAGTGTGTAGAAAGACAAAAGAAGACAACTTTTTTGATAACTGTTATCTAATAATTTAGCTTTCTTCTCTTAAAATTGAAAAAGGGATAACTACTGTTATAAAATATTCTGTTTCTTTACAGTAATACCCAGCCCACAGGAAAAGGATTCTAATTAGGGGAGAGAAATATTTTTTTTTTTTTTGCCTTAGCAGGTACAGCATACTAGGTACTTCTGTATTAATTAGATTTTTATTCTATTATCTTTATATCCCCAAGGTGCACAACTGCCAGCACTGTTTCAGATTATACATGCCTTAAGAGCAGGAGGAGTATTGGCACAAATAAAATAACAATGCCTTGAATGAATTTTCAGGGGACAAGGGCCAATATTTCTGTATCAGAATAGATCCTAAAATATTTTATTAAAACCAAATAAAAGAAATAAATTATATCATTTACAAGTTTATTGCTTTCACTGACTGCTCCTCACTACTCACCCATTACCTACCTGCCACACATTGTTTCTTATATATCCAGGTCTTGTAATTGTATTGGCTAGTGACAAATACTGATGAAAATTATTATAAACTCACCCATCTACTGCTCAGCACTTGAGTTCAGCTCCAGAATTGTGTTTTGTTTGGACTTATTTTCTTTTGAAATTCAATAGTAAAACACAGGTTTCACTCTTTTTGGTCCCAGTTGATATGTGTGTGTGTATACATGTGTGTGTGCGCGTGCACACACACACACGGTCCAGGTAGGGTAGAGTGAAATGTTGAAAGATAAGTTTAGAATATTTCACTGTGGAGTTTTTCAAAGTAATCACTGAATGGAAGACAGAGTTCTTAAGCAGATTTTGGCAGCCTGATACACTAGAATAGGGCTATAGCCTAGGATACATTCAGCCACACTTAAGAGCTCAGATTATGGGGAAGCTCCATGGCTCATTAGTTGAATCACTCAATTTAGAATGCACTGATGACAGGAGTTAAGCATTTCTATATAATTCTGCTATCTCATAATGTACATCCCCTCCTCTCTCCCCCAAAAAAGTTTTTTTTTTTTTTTTTTTTTTTTTTGAGACGGAGTCTCGCTCTGTCGCCCAGGCTGGAGTGCAGTGGCCAGATCTCAGCTCACTGCAAGCTCCGCCTCCCGGGTTTACGCCATTCTCCTGCCTCAGCCTCCCGAGTAGCTGGGACTACAGGCGCCCGCCACCTCGCCCGGCTAGTTTTTTGTATTTTTAGTAGAGACGGGGTTTCACCGTGTTAGCCAGGATGGTCTCGATCTCCTGACCTCGTGATCCTCCCGTCTCGGCCTCCCACAGTGCTGGGATTACAGGCTTGAGCCACCGCGCCCGGCCCCCCAAAAAAGTTTTTAACCTATTACTATACGTTGCTCTGAAGGTGTGGGAATGGTAACCTTTTCTAGGGCATAAGCATTTAATTATTCAGATATGAAAGTCAAATTCTTCATCACATTCTTTTAGAAGATCTGTAAATTAAATGGCTAAAATTGAACTCCTTTGTTAATCTATTGTAAACAAAACAATAATTTATAGACAAATGTATGACTAAAAATATAAACAAAGCAAAGAGAGGAAACGTCTTATTTAATTTCACTCATTTAATTCACTTTGATTTTCTTCCTATCGTGAGATCAAATATGAAACATCACCAATAGTAACCCTATAATAGCAAATAACTCCCACAATTAAAAATCCTACTTGTGTCATTTCAAATTTAGAACTAACGGAACTTAGTTCCGAAGGTTGACTTTAAAACAGAATACATTTTACTTAAATGTCTGAGCACTTCGTGATCATCTTCAGAAAAAACTTCTAAATACATTTTTGTTATTTTCTATAATTTAAACTCATTCCGAAATGACTCATTTTTGGCTGTTTTATTGAATAGATTCATGGAAGTTGTTGATTACAGCAACATTTGTCATCGTTTCAGGTTGCTCTGCATGTAAACAAGACTCCTATATGTGTAGAGTTTCCTATCTCAGAAGCAAAAACTCCTCCCACACAGAATACTGGAGACACTTATGTGCCTAGTCTATCTTGAAGCTTGGATCGAGCACCTGCTCCTAAGCCTTCATTGGAAGCTAGTGATATGAAGAAGTGAGAATCATAGGGCATACATGCTAGGGGAGATGGTCACAATGGCAGGTACATCCTCCTTCTCTATGCAAGAGGTGAGCAGTCCTTGACACACAATTAAGAACCTAGGGATAAATGGCATTAGTGATATCAGTGGTGTTGTTGATGTAGACTATGGTATCTGTATACAGCTGTGAGATCAGTCAGTCCTAGTGCATAATAAAATTGAAAGTTGTATCTTTTTGATTAGTCTTATATCCTGACTCTCCAGATCTCCCAGAGATTTCTGTGTCTATTTGCTAAATTTGTTTTATAATTTTCTAAACTACTTTTCTTCTAGTATTGGCCTCAGCTAATTTATTCTTTAAATTTAGATCCCTGCTTAACATATTTGTCACTGAATAAAATAGAGAGAGAAAAAGCAAGATGGGAGGCAGTGTCATGAGAACAAAGGTATGTTAATAAAGAGATGACTAAACTGCCATTGCCTTTAGTTGGGAGAAGACTCCATACAATGGTAAACTTTGCTGACTGGGATTTTGGGCAAAACTAATCATAACTGGTAGTGACAATTCAGGTGGTTGTAGAGTAGGCCTATAAATCTTACATAAATAACGTTTTACTGAGCACACATTATTGCAATTTTATTCTTTTTCTCTATCTTGTATTTTTACTTGTAACAAATAATGAAATCTGCAAATACGTTTACTTATACAAATTTCAACAGACATTACAAGCAATGGAAAAAAAACTATAAAATCATCTGGTTTAGAAAGCAACATGCACACAAACACACACACACACACACACAGAGAGTTTTATTGGTATCTATGTAAATAAAGATATTAATATTGAGCACTCCCTTGTGACCTTTAATTGCTTAAGGCTACTCTAATAAGAACCTCTAATCAAAAGTGTACAATACAAAGAATTCAGAGGAATGTAAATCCAGTTAAAATAATATAAACTAGTATAGTTTCACCAAGGAATTATTTCTATGAAATCTTATAAATTGTCTGAGGTCCAAACTAGAAGGTCTGAGTCTGGAACATTATTATCAAAAGTGTAACATTCTCAACTAACATGCAAATAGGTCATGTAGAGAAAATTTTCCTAAAATGTTTGATTAGTGTAACCTCAAAATCCCTAAAAACCTTTGTTCTTGGGTTCTCTTGACATAAGCAAAAGACATTTCAGGGGATGACAATAGAGCTGTTAAGATCAGATTAGAAAAAAAAAAGGTAGTGCTTATTAAAAGGTCAGTAATGATAGTTTATTATTTACATATGATTTTAACAATTTTATTAAAATCAAGTATCTATTCAATGGTGCTGGGGAACTGAATTCTCATGACTACCCACATGGATATTCAGCTGGATACTGACCTCATACTATACACAAAAGTGGATTCATAATGGATCATGGATAAAAATACAAGAGGTAAAACTATATGGTTCTTTATAAAAAAGCATAGGACTAAACCTTTATGATCTTAGATTAGGAAATGGTTTCTTAGATACAGGACCAAAACTATAAGCATACGAGAAAAATCTAAATATGACTTAAACAAAATTAAAAACTTTTATGT